AAGCTGTCACGACCCAAAATCTACTATATGTTGTGATGGCGCCTAACGCCGCCGTCATGCAAGCCAACATTAATTTATCAATTTATTTACTCGTTTTATTACTTTCGAGATCATAATCTCCATTACTAAAATAGTATAAAATGGAATTTACAAGGTAAAAAGATAATAACTACGTGAACTGCAATAACGAACAACCAGTAGGAACCCCCAAAACTCTGTGTCACAAGTGCATGAGTATTTTTCTAAGGAGTACAATAATAATACAATATCTATCCCAAATGTAATAAGACAGAATAAAATAAACAGTACAATGGAGATTTGGTGGATTGTGATGCATAGCCTGGAATGCAGCTCATATAAAATCTCCTCTACAGGTGCGCCTACGTGCCAAGGTGCATTTAGTGCAGAAGTGCAGCATGAGTATGTAAATCAACGCGTACCTAATAAGTATTTAGCCTAATCTCGGAGAAGTAGTGACGAGAGGTCGACATCGACACTTACTAAAGGTCCAATAAAATAATGTAATAAAACATAAGCAAATATGAGGCATACGACAATGATGGGGTAAATCTGTAAGTTACATAATCTTTCAATTTTTTCTTTCAAAGCATGAATTTCTAAATCTTGTATTCTACCTTAACAGCTCAGAAAAATGTCAAGTGACATTATCAAATAAATAAGGAATACCATAGAAAATGCCGGACATCAGTGGAGAGATTAGCTCGTGAATATTCGGACTACTAGCGATATAATGTACGATTCTGCCGAGGTCGTTCGACCCGATCCAGAATAATGTGTACACTGCCGAGGGTCGAGCGGCACGAACTATAGATGCATCTATATACTGCCGAGGCGTTCAGCGTGCTCCACAAGAAAAAGGGAGGAAGTTACCGAATTATGAGACACGTGTTTACAATATCGTACAGGAGTACAAAATGGATATAATCTTTACCGTTTCTCAAATAACTCGCCCAGAACTCAAAGTGTTAAGGCTTGGCCTAGTATACATATATTTATTTCTAAATCAATTTCATTTATAACTTTAGTTAATTAAGCCGGCAAAATGAGTTCAAATAATTCTAATATTACATGATAAGATCCCAAGTCTATCCGGACACAAACATGTTGTAGCTACGTACAGATTCTCGTCACCTTGTACGTACATAGCACCCACAACTAGTTGCACATAACAATTCATATCACCTAGGGATGTTTCCCCCTCACAAGGTTAGACAAGAGACTTACATCGCTATGAAGTTCCATAACCGGCTCTAACACCACTCAAACACCTCAACCCGATGCTTGTCTCTTCAAAACTAGTCAAATAATGTGCAAATCAATCAAAATATACCCCAATACATATAATCTAACAATTTAAAATGATTTCCAACTCCGCTTAAAAGCCAACAAAGACAACCCTTGGGGCCACGTACCCGAATTACGAAAATTTTCGAAGATAAACTTTACCCATAACACCACGAACTAAAATATATAACTTATTCTAAATTCCATGTCCAATTTCGCGGTCAAAATCCAAAAATACCAAATTCTAGGTTTTCTACCAAAATCCCAAGTTTCTATAAATTTCTATGTTTAATCCATATACAAACCATATATTTAACTTGTAATAGGTGGGAGTCACTTATCTTGTGTTGCTTGATAAAATCTCCCCTTGAAACTCTCCAAAATTACCCCAACCAAGTGAAAATGGAAGAAAATGGGCCAAATTCCGTTCTTATAAAAACACACTGCCCATCGACCTCTCGCACCTGCAGCCACTTGACCGCTTCTGCGGTTCCGCAGGTGCGGCCAAAATATCGCTTTTGCGATCTCTGGGCCGCTTCTGCGGTCACGCAGGTGCGGGAATTCCTTCACACTTATGGCCTCTTCCCAGCTCCCCTTCTAGCCACTTTGCAGTCCACTGCCTCGCTTCTGCGATGAAACTTTTGCAGAAGCGGTTGCACTAGCAACCAGAATCCTCCAGCTTTTCCTTAAGTCCAAAATTCGATCTGTTAACCATCCGGAATCCACCCGAGTCCCCCGGGACCTTGACTAAATATACCAACACGTCCCAAAATATAATACGAACTTAGTCGAAACCTTAAACCACGTCAAACAGTATCAAAATTATGAATCGCGCCTCGAATCAAACTTATAAATTTTTAAATTTTCAAAATCTATATCTTGTACCGAAACGTATCAAATCAATCCGGAATGACTTCAAATTTTCACACACGAGTCATAAATGACATAACGAAACTATTCCAAGGCTCGGAACCCCAAACGGACATCGATAACATCAAAATCCACTTCAAACCAAACTTAAAATATTCTTAAACCTTCAAAATGTCAACCTTTCATAATAAGTACTGAAATGCTCTCGGGTAATCCGATACTCAACCCGAGCACACGCCCAAGTCCGAAATCATCATACGAACTTACTGGAATCTTCAAATCCCGATTCCGAGGTCGTTTACTCAAAAGTCAAACCTTAGTCAATTCTTCCAACTTAAAGCTTCCGAAATTAGAATTTTCTTTCAAAATCAATCCCGAACTTCCCGAAATTCAAATTTCGATTACATGTAAAAGTCATAATACCTGAAGTGAAACTATTCAAGGCCTCAAACCGTCGAACGACGCGCTAGAGCTCAAAACGACCGGTCATGTCGTTACACCAGATTTAAATAACTTACAAAATATAGCGATTGCCAAATTTTGTAGGCAGTGTTATATAGTGTAGTTGGTTGGAATGAGGAAGTTGGAGGATTTATGCTGAAGGTAAAAAGTTAAGTTCCTTCTTGATTTATGAGTTTAATATCAAGTATAATATGTATTACACTTGCTTTCTATAACCAGCAAAGCTCAATCTGTTTACGGAGCTTGCAATTTTCTTTTTGTTGGTTTATCTTTTTCTTCACACTTGTTGAGGAAATTAAAAATAATATTTCTTTTTTTGGCGCTTGTGTCGAAGAACTAAATTAATAAGGGTATCCCAGATCCGACGTGTGGAATTGTATTGGATTTTTTATTTTTTTGGTTGTTGTGTCGAAGAACTAAATAGATTGAGCGCAAGAAAAAGTAATAAGAATTTTTTTTACTGTAGCACTAACGTAAGCTAGAGTAGCAACTCAAGGACCAAAATTCTGAAAGTTAATAGTCTGTTTCCTCTTTTAGCTTCAGTTAGTAAAAGGATCAAAATTATCCAGTTTATTTAATTAAAGGTTGAATGTGCTATGTCGAATATTACAAAGACTAAACAGAAATTAAGTAATAACTCAAGGACCAAAATTGCTATTTTTCCTAAAACAAATTTTTGCGATTTTTATGATTGTAGCTTGTTAGCATGTTTAGCCGAGCTTCACTAATTCCAAAAGCACTTTTTTTTTTTATCAAAGTTGAAGTGTTTGGTCAAGTTTTTGGAAGAAAAAAAATACTTTTGAGGAGAAGCATATGCAATTTTGGAGAAGCAGAAAAGGTATTTCTCTCCAAAAGTATTTTTTTGAAAAACACTTTTGAGAAAAAATATACTTAGAAACAGTTTTTAAAAACTTGGTCAAACACTAATTGCTGCTCAGAAGTACTTTTCAAATTAATTAGTCAAACACAAATTGTTCTCACCAAAAATACTTTTGAGAAAAGCGCTTTTGAGAAAAATCACTTATCAAAATAAGCTGATTTTTGTAATTTGGCCAAACAAGCTATGAGCCCGTTTGGATTGGCTTATTTTAAGTGCTTTTAAACCAAAATAGCTTTTAAGCCATTTTATAGTGTTTGGATAAAGTAAAAAAAATACTTTTAAACACTTGTTTTTAAGATAAAATGACAAAAACAAGCCAAAAGTCAAAAGTTATAATTCATAACTTATTAGCTTATACTTAAAAGTCACTTTATAAAAGCACATCCAAAGGGAGCCTCATTTTTTTTTAAAGATTAAGACGTGTCAATCTGAATATACATGTGAATATCAAGATGCGTATTAAGATTATGACATTTAAACCTGAATACACATATGAATAGTAAGATGTGTATTAAGATCTGAATACTAAATGATTAAAACTGTTTGATTTTTAACATATGAATGTATACAATTTATCTTTATTTAAAAATTAATAAGCATAAAATTCAAATGAAATACTAATCAATCTAATATTTTATCAATAAAATATAAAGTTTTTAAAAATATGGTAGTTGCTGGCGGTGATGGCTAACGATGGTGCATGTGAATGCAGACTAAAGGCGGTGGTTGGTGGTAGTTTTGGTTGATGGTGGTGGTTCAGGGTAGTAGCTAGTGGTGATTGGTAGCGGTAACGTTTATAATTGAGAATGGTAGTGGTAGATGGTGATAGTTAATAATGGCGGATGGTGATGGTAGTTGTGATTGAGGAAGGTGGTGGGTGGTGGTAGTTTATAATGATGGATAGTGTTCACTATGGTTGTTGATGGTGACATGGTGCTTAGTTGTGATAGTTGAGGTAAATGAGTATTGGTTGTTGTTGAGAATGATGGTGGTGGGAGTGGTGAGGATAGTGAGTGGTGGTAGTCGATAATGGTGACTGCTATGATTGAGGATGATAGTGGTGGTGGAGTATGTTGGTGGTGGGTGACATGGTGGTAGTTGATAATGGTAGGCGGTAGTGGCATTTAATAATAAATATAGATGATAGCATCTTAATAAAATTAAGTGTCTGTTATAAATCATACAAACCTATTCAGACTCATTAAGAGGTTGTAAAGTAAAAAAATAAATACACTCAATGATTAAGATATGAATAATTAAGATTCAAATTTTAAAAATAAACGCATTTAATATATGAAATCTAAATAATTAAATGCAAAATGAGGCGTATGTATCCCTCACAGCAATTGTGTGTCCCCACTCCATCACCAGCGTCGGTCGAACGCATGAGGAGTCACTCTCCCACGTGCGAACCCACTCCACTCTCATTGGTTCCCACTGATGAGCCAGCCAGTCCCAGTAGCCACTTTTAATTTCTCAAAAATCTCAAATCTACTTCCATTCAACAACACCAAAAAGATTTTATTTTATACACAGCAGCCAAAATCCACACTCTGTCATAGCAAAGGCTTATCTTTTTCTTTGTATTACCGTAACTTCAACTTTACAGCTCAAACTTCAACCTTTTTGTGTATAACTGTGAAATGAACGTTGGGTACTCACTTGCAGATCGAATCTAGCATTTTCAGGTACTGCTTTTGCGCTTTTTCATATGTTTAGTATATTATAAAGCTTTTAGTTTTCAGAATTTTTGTTGGATTGTACTGAGTGCTTAGATAAGTGTACTTGGTTTGTCCTTTTGGCCGTTTTGGGGGTCGTGGGTTTTCATTTTTGCATTTTCAGGTTTGGGTTTTGGTTGTGCTTGTGTTAGTGTATTGTATAAAGCTTTGATCTTTGTTTGGTGGATTATACTGAGTGCTTTAATGGTGTACATTGGTTCTGGTATTTGGTGATTGTTGGTTTCATGTTTGCATTTTCAGGTTTTTGATTTTGGTTTTTTATATGTTAGTGTGTGTATAAAGATCAGATTTTTTGTTGAATCTTTTGGTTGGATAGAACTTAATGCTTTGATTGGTGTACATTGGTTTTGGGGTTTTATACATGTGTCTGCTTTTCGTGAGAACGCTGTAATTCTGTAGTTTCAGTTGATGAATTTTTGGTTTAGGGGGTGAACGTGTTCTGGATAAAGTGGAAATGGTACTCTTAATGCTCCTATCTTTGGTCAAGATCAAGCTTGTAATTGGTTTTATTCTGTCAGGAAAGAAGCAGTAAAGGATTAAAATTTGTCACTGTTAGGACTCTTGGAACTGGTAATTACATGTTAGAAGGTCGTTATGTTAGGATCGGAAATCTGGATAGTGCGGGATTAGACAAAACAAGTCAAAAATGATGGTAAATAAAGCACATAAGGAAGCACAAACTTTACGTGGTTCGGTCAAAAAGACCTATCGCCACGTGCAGAGAGGATCAGTTCCATATATCAAAAAGTATACAAAAGAGCATGCAAAATTAGAGATAACCATAATTAACCCAAAAATAATCAGAGAGAATAATCTTACACAAAACACTCACAAAGAGGTTCAAACAAGTATTCTCCCACCACTTAACTCTTCCACAAAATATTCTCTATTTTGATACAAGAGAAAACACCAAAATTGTTCTTCTCAATTTCTTAAGGGTGTGTTTAAAGTGAGAGGGAATTGGCCCTAATTCTAAGAAAAGGTTTAGGCAATTGTTTGGCCAATATTTAGCCAACAATGCTTAAAATGTTTGACCAAATATCGGGCAACAGTGCTTTCATAAAAAGGCCAAGAAATAGATCACGTTACAAATCTCTTTATTAGCTTAGTTTTGGTTGATATAGTAAGTTTATTCCACCTTCTCCACAAAAGCAGAAAGGAAAACAAATCAAGCAACTTAGAATGGATAATGACTTGGAATTCCATATTGATGAATTTAACACATTTTGCTAGAATGAAGCAATTGCTCGACACTGCACTACTAGGATGACCCCTCAGTAGAACCACTCGCCTATTGGAAATTCAAAGAGGAAAAGGAGTCGAAGAGGCTGTGATGTTGCTGCAGTAGAACTCATGTGTGTCCTGTGGAAGGAAAGAAAAAGGAAAGCTTTGAAGGAATAGAAAATGATTATGTACATTTAAGGAAAAGCCTCTCATTCCTAGTTTTCTTTTTGTGCACCTATGAAGTTCCAATGTGCAGAATATTGGTGTCTTTAGTAGAGAATCATATGATGTTACAAATTTTCTACTTTTTGGTATACTGCTTGTATTCGGAGGTCTGCCCATTATTGATAGAATAATTTATCTTATTAAAAAGATGACGCCTCAACAAAATAGTGTGGCAGAAAGGATGAACAAAACTCTTTTGGAAAGAGCTCGCGCATGATCTCAACTGTTAGGTTGATCCATGACTGTTTAAGCAAAAGCCATTGCAACAATTTGTTATATTGTCAATCATTCTCCCTCTGCACCTTTGTACTTTAATAATCCAAAGAAAAAAAATTAGGTAGTCTTGCTAATTATTTCAGCTTCAACATATTTGGTTGCCCAAATACAAGTATGTAAATCCATCAAAGATGCAAATAGTGTCAACCATAGTCCCTTTGCACCTTTGAAGCCATTGCAATATCTTGTTATATTGTCAACCGTGCTCTGCACATTTGAAGACTCCAATGAAAGCATGATTAGTTAGTTTTGCTATTATTCCGGCTTTAAATGGTTGCCCAACATACATGCATGCGAATATATTTGTTAATCTAGATTTCATTTGTCCTATTAATAATAAACATTAATATGTGCAAGTCATTGATGTTAATATTGACTTATTTTTAAACCCAAAGGCTGCCACTTCTGAAATAATGGGACCTGATCCTTAGTTGGAAAACTCTTGGACAATATTGAGGTTAAGGCTAATAAGGAAGATAAAAATGGGATAATTGTCCTTGATCAATCAAGGTTTGACAATGTCCTTGGGATGGGTAACGTGAATGTAGCAAGATCTTGGCAGCTAATTAGCAATCTTTTGAAACTTGTGTCAGGTTGCAGGGACTATTACTCTCTTAATGAAAGACTCAAAATCAGTACTCTTCTTCCCTGATTCATGCTGTTCATGTATATTTCTGTCATTAAGCTGAATTTTCGCATCTAATTTGTTCTCAGTATTCTACAATATGTGTGCTCTGAACCTAGTGCAAAATTTACTGACATGATCTGGTAATCCAGTAAGAGTCTTGGGTCGCAATAAAGCATAATGGAAGAATAGTAATATTCTTGGTATGAACATCCTACTCTATGCTTGAGAAGTTATGTCTACATTGCGAAATGTAGTCTTCACATGATGTGTATGATTCTGGGGGACAATTTAATGTTCTCAACGTAGTTTTTGCAAGACAGAAGTGTCAACTACATGGCAATGTAGTCGAACAGTTGGAAATAATATGCACTGATCTGTGAGAATTATCTGTAGATTCGCTGTTTATGTTTTTCTTTGTTATTTCAGTTATAATAGTTGCCTTGATCATAACAGGATTCTTTCTAATATCTTTTGCTGTGTTTGTGTTCCTTCAGGGAGCATTTCTCATTGCTGGTTTCTTGGTGTCACATCTTGTTTACTGTATGTCCAAGGGAACTGCAGCGCAGCGTAGTCTGTCAGATGTTCTTCAGTAGCCTTATTATGCTTGACCAGCGCCGAGATGGGCGGCTTCTCTTTGAAAATTCAGGAGCTGTTGTTTTCAAGTTTGCTGTTGTTTTGCATTTTCTCAAGAGTTGCGCTAGCTCTCAGTCCTGATGGTGCGATGTCACACTTTTCTTCAGTATTTCTTGCTTGATTTGTTAATATAGGTTACAGGCTAGGCGCCCGTGTATTTCAATTGATGAGAGTATGACAAGAAATATAACATGCTTGATCCAGTTGATATAACAGGTCTAGTTCCTTGGTCAGTTTTCTAAATCAAGGACTATATCTCTGTTATTTAATAAAGTAGATTGCGAGGTGATTGTCCGTTGAAACTTGTTTGCCTCTAATAATTGGATATTTTCAGTCTTCTGATGTTCTGATGCTGTTGAGTTTCTTTTCTGTTGTTACTTCCAAAAATTACGTGAATGTAATGCTGATACTGTCACTCTTGATAATGGATGTGTGTCATATCTGAAGCTTGTTCCATATTGTAAGTTACACTTTAGTCCAAACTTTAGACTTTTCCACATCTTCACAGGTCAAGCGCTTGTCAACTTTAGGATCTCAGTACTTGGTTCAGATGGTGTTCTTAAGCAGTGGAGACCAGAAGATTCTGACCCATGTGGCTGGAAAGGAGTACTTTGTGACCCAAAATCAAAGAGAGTTGTATCATTGTGAGTATCTGTATTATTGTTAAAACATCTTTGCCGGTGATGGCATTTTTGTGGTTTAAGTTATATTTCAATTTTTACATATTTATTTTGGCTCCATAATTCAGAAATAGAAATATTTTGATATAAAATTACACTGAATGAATGCTGAGAATCCTCAGTAGTTGGGAAGGTAATTTCTGGATCAAATTAGATTTTTGATCTTGTAGAACTGAATTGCAGCTGATCTTGACAATACGTGGAAGCATTTTCGATTGCGTTATGTTGCAGTTCTGTAGGGCTGATTCTCTAGCACCATTTTACAGTTGCTACTTGTCAAATGGCCTGGATTTAGTATCTTCACCGAATATCCCTACAAAACATTATCTCTAAGCAATTTTGTATTTAACATGTGAGTAACTACCCGCATTTTGTATTTAACTAATGAGAGACTAATAGAATACTAACACTTAACACTGACCTAACATTCTAACACACTGATACCTTACTTCTAATGTAGCCATTTACGTATTGAAATCTACTATTTGAACTACTATAATTGTTTTTTTTTTATCATTCAGAATCCTCCCTGATCACAAGCTGAGTGGATCTATATCGCCAGATATTGGGAAGCTAGACCAGTTGCAGTTTCTGTATGCTTCCTTTTCCTCCTCTTCTCGTTTCTATTGATTGTCAGTCCCACTATACTATGCTAACACAATCTACTGAAATGCAGAGCTCTTCATGACAATAATTTCTATGGGACAATACCTCCTGCATTGGGAAATTGTACAAAGCTGAAATCTTTGTAAGTTATGCAATGAACTTCTTTGGCGAAACCTGCATATCTAATTCTCTTTATTGAGGTGCTTGAGTTTCTGCGATTATGCACTTGAGTGAATAGAAAGAACTTCAACATAGTTTACATGCTATTTGAAGGATTCCCTGCGGATACAATATCCCTATCTCAGCTCCCACCTCCCACCTCCTCCTCCTTCCCCGTAACCTCACTATCATCTGAATTGTACTAAGCCTGAACCACACCATATTCCCATGACTCAATTTTAGGAGGAAGTTGCATTAGTTAACCCTGGAATTCTATGATCAGTTTGTTCATTCGTAGAATTTATGCTTTGTATTATGGTTGATCCTCCTTTTGCTGAGTAATAGCGATACTTGTACAATTGGTAAAGCTGGCATTTTGTTTTATGGAGTTAGAGCATAAACAAAGTTGAGTGCAAAATTCGATATCTTTATAAAGAGTTGCCCACATTTTATCATCACACTCTTTTTAGTTCATGTTTAGATTAATCACTCCATCTCCTTCCATATTGCAAAACCAGCTTGGTATTGCTAGATATTATAGTACTTGTTATGCCACTAATCTTGATATGTAAAATAGAACAGACTTAATCCGTATTTGGTTTTGATATGTTCAAGAGAGGTTTGAGCGGCTTTTTTGTTGGCGTTGTTTTAGAATTTCAAATTACAAAGTTATTACTGTACAAGCTAGCTAATTTGTTAGGAATCATAATATTTTATGCAGGTTTCTACAGGGTAATTATTTAAGCGGATGGATTCCTGATGAGTTGGGGAACCTTCCTAAGCTTGAGAATCTGTAAGACTTTGTGTCTTATATTTTGATTCTATTTTCTGTGCATGCTGTTCTGCAGGTCTCAAGCTCCTATACGGTCCGTTCACCTTAATCTGCATAAGTAAGCATGATGCATTTGGACAACATTTAGGTTTCGTGGATGACTGTACCTATGTAACCAAAATATCTATAATTCTGTAGACATTTCTTGAATAAAATATACAACCTTTTCCCAATTTTTTTGACTTTTGACAGTTTGTGCTATCTAATCTAATACCCCGGTGAGCTTACACACCTTCCACTATTATAGGGGGGAGGATCAAGTGCCCACTATGTAATCCCCTACTCCTTTCTCCATCCCCCTCAGCCCAAACAACAATTAAACAGAAAAAAAAATATATTATTGCAATTAGATTCTTGTTGCTCCGTGGTTCTACTACTTACCATCGGCCCTTCTTTAGGTTTTCTTTATCAATTTCTTCCTACCCTTTCTTCTTAATGCCCATAATCATGCTTTTGCCTGTCCCCTCATCTCACACAAACTCCAATCCAACTGTATGAGCATCTATTCTGCTTATTACTTTTATTATGCAGGTGTATTCGTATCTTGATTGTTACTACATACGACATTCCATTCTCCTAAATGGCCCAGCCTCTGCCCTGGGATCCTGTCATCTTCCTTGCTAATTTGAACACCCTTCTTCTTGTGCATTTTCCCTCCCTGTGAGTATGAAGAGCCTACGGAACGAGAGACAGCGGGAGATTCATTTGTTCTATTGTCATTGCTCCATTGTCTGGAGTTACTTGTAGGTCTCATAGTGGTGTCATCTTTATACTTGTGCAATAACTGGTAGTCACACTCTAGCATCATTGTGGTCTCAGATAACTGGAGGATTTCATGAATTAGCTCTCAGGATTTCTAGTGAAGAGGGACCAACATGTCAACTGATTTTTTCTAGATCTCTCATATCTAGGGATGTGGTTCTTAGAGTCATTAGTGTTTTTCTTTCTAGACCGATACAACCTTTCTTTTACCATTAAAGAGCGAAGAAAGTCATGCATACTTTACCTCTGTACTCTTCCAGGTAATGGAGAAACCTAATTGAGGAATATAAGGCTTTATGAGCAGTTTATCGTAAAAATAGAGCGGCTTTGACATTTTACCTTGTGATTTTTACATTTGAGAGCTTGATTTAGTCTGGATGAACATTTTTTTTCCTTATAAAAAAGAGCTTGCAACTTTTAATGCAGAACTTATTGATCTGTCTCAATTCTAAGCATGTGATAGATTGTTGAGCCTTAGTAATTGCTCCTACAGTACAACCAATTGATGTTGGTTTATTACTTCTGCCAGAGATCTTTCAAGCAACTCTCTTAGCGGAAACATTCCACCATCCCTTGGCAAG